TTTGCTAATCGAGCTGAGCTCGAGCCCAGTGAAGCTCGGCTTGTGAGACTCCCGAGCCTAGTATAATAAATAAATATATAAACATATATAATAAATAATTTTTATTATAAAATAATATTTTATATATAATATTTTTATTTTTTATGTATAATGGTAAATAATTTTTATAATTCTTAATTTTTTGTATGTAAAATAAAAAATATATATTTTATATGTATACTTTTTATTTTTTAGAAAAAACTTGGCTTGAAATCGAGCTCGAACTTGCGAGCTTTGAACTGAGCCAAGCTCAAGCTCAAATCTCTAGCTTGAATCGAGCTCGAGCCTAACACAGTTTCAGTGAGCAAAGCTCGAATAGCCAAGTATTTGGCTCAGCTCAGCTCGAATCCACCCCTAGTCTTTATAAATGGTTGGTGATATACGAGTTGTCCAATGCCCCTAGCACATTTATGTGTGCCATGATAGAGGTATTACAGCCCTTTTTGAACTCATTTGTTGCAGTTCATTTCGATGGCATTCTGATTAACAGACATAATAAAGAAGAACACTTAGATCACTTATGCCAAGCCTTGGAGACTCTTCACAAAGAAAGGCTCTTTATTAACCTTAAGAAGTGTTCATTCTTATGTGACAAGGTAGTATTTCCGGAGTAAATTGTTTCAGTTGAGAAACTACAACTGGATCCTGGAAAGGTGAAGGCTATTACTGAATGTCCTACACCACAATCTTTTGGAGATAAATGCAGTTTCCAAGGATTGGCCTCTTTCCATAGGAGGTTTATTCGGATTTAGCAACATTATGAACCTCATTACTCAATGCTTGAAGTCAGAGACATTTTCATGGACTGGGGCGCCTTCCAAAGAATTAAAAAAGCCATGCCAGAAGCTCCTCTCCTAGTATTACCAGATTTTGAAAAGGTCTTTGTTGTGAAGTGTGATGCTTCTCATGTAGGAACTGGTGCAGTCCTTAGACAAGAGGCCCACTAGCTGTTTTAGTGAGAAGTTATCAGAATGTAAAACGAGATACTCTACATATGACTTGGAGTTCCATGCTTTGGTAAGAGCTCTACAACATTGGTGACACTACCAAGTACACCGAGAGTTGTGGTATATTCTGATCATCATGCCCTTAGATATCAAAGTTCACAAAAGAAGCCCCGTCCTAGACATGCCAAGTGGAGCTCTTATCTGCAAGAGTTCTCTTTCTCTTTGAGACACAAGTCAGGTAAGTCAAATGTGGTAGTTGATGCTTTGAGCCAAAGATCTGTTCTACTGTCAAGTTTGAAGGCACAAACAATTGGGCTTGAAGAACTGAGAACACAACACAGCAGTGACCCCTCTTTTAACCAAATATTGAAGGAATTGGATGACCCAATCACCCAACTAACAGGAAGGCTTCTCGCTTTGTTATGATTGAAGGTTATTTATTTAAGGTAAATCAACTAGGTATTCCCAAAGGGTCACTATGGAAACAAATCATAAGAGAGCTGCATGAATGAGGGTTAGGAGGTCATTTCGATAGAGATAAGACTATGGGCCTGTTCGTTTGCTCTGAAGTCTGACATCTGAAAGTGCAATAATTACCTTAAAAGGTATATTGGTATTGATGAACTTTTCTTTCCTTTGAACTCTAAATGTAGAGAATGTTGTTCTGAATTCTGAAAATTATCAAATATCCATTTTGACCCCATACATGAGAGTTTTTGTTTATCTTTTTGGGGGTATCATTGGAAAACAAAAAGTTGTATGATTGCACTTTAAGAGAGATAAGAGATAAGAGGAAACGAAAAACCACTTTTCTCTTAAAGTTGAAAGATTCCTCTTAAGAGATAAGAGCTAAGAGGAAACAAACAGGCCCTATGGCTATGGTGGCTGATCACTATTTCTGGCCTCGTATGTACTGAGACATAGACAAATTAATGAGATATTGCAGAGTTTGTCAATTGGCTAAGGGGCAATTACAAAATACAGGTTTGTACATGCCATTACCAGTGCTAGAATCACCAATGGGTACATCTAAGCATGGACTGTGCTAGGATCGCCAAAGACAGCAAGGGGACATAGTTTTTGTTGTGGTTGATCGATTTTCAAAGATGGCACACTTTATCCAATGTTCTAAGACAATCAATGCTAATCATGTAGCAGATTTGATCTTCAAAGAAATTGCCCGGTTGCATGGGGTGCCAACATCTATAGTTTCCAACTGTAATGTGAAGTGTGTTGGTCATTGTTGGAGATCACTTTGGAAGTTTGGAAATCCAACTGGATTATTGCACATGTGCCATCCCCAAACTAATGGTGCAAAGCTTGTTAATAGAAGTTAGGGTAATATGCTAAGGAGCATTGTGGGAGAACATGTGAAGATATGGGACCAGGTTCTCCACCAAGCCAAGTTTGCTTATAATAACTTAATTAATCGTGTCATTAAAATGACACTGTTTGAGGCTGCATATGGGTATAAACCACAACATGTTTTGGATCTTATTCCATTACCGCAAGAGGCTCGGATGAGTGAAGATGGTGAGGCTTTTTTCTGAACACAAAGAAGAATCACACGCAGGTGTATTGAGAAAAAAAAGATTTCCAAATACAGCAAATTGAATTCAAAGAAGTTCAGGCCACGCAAAATACTGAAGAAGATCAGCAACAATGCCTATGTTATAGATCTACCAGATCACTTGCAAATTAGTCCAATCTCTAATGTTGCAAATTTGTCTTCTTATGAAGGATTTGATGGAGATGAAGTTGTAGTATTTGGACTCAAGCTACTGTCAAAGAAACCACCTGAAGTTATTGAAAACATCCTAGATGCTAAGGAGGTTTGATTGATCCTGTTGAGGAAATCAGTTACCAAAGGGTCTTGGTGAAATGGCTAGGAAAGCCAACAGCAAAGAGCACATGGATTGCAGAAGAGGAACTGAAACAACCTGATCCGGCAATGTATGCAGGATTCCAGCAAGTATACTCATCAAGGCCGAGTTCTTCTCACCCCAGGAGATTGGTGCAGGAGCATGAAGAACAATACAACCCATAGTACTGTAGCATCACTGTTTTTTTTTATAAATAATTTGAGATTTTATTAAAACTTCAGGTAATAAGCTGTAGCAACACTGCTCATGGGTTACTGTTATTGTTCACGGAGATTGTAACTAATGGGTCTTTTGTTATTTTTGTTTTCTATGAAGGTCTTTTCTTTTCGAAAAAGGTAAAGTAAATTCATTGATAGAAATCAGAATCATACAAAGAAACTCCTAGAAGAGAGCAAAGGCTGAGAACAGCCTCTCAGCTTACATTACAACTCAAATATACTAATAGATCTTAACTGAGACCCCAAGACCCTAGGCTGGAAGCCTTTATTGTTGTTTGTTGCTTGGGATGCAAGTTTCTTTAATATGGCTTGTAAGGAAAGCTTCTTAGTTATTAGCTTATATAAAGAAAAACGCAGATCTGTAAAGGGACTTTTGGCTTATTTACAATCCATATTATCAATTTGAAAGGCTTGTTACAGGCCTTACAACTTGTTCCTTGTACTGATCATCCTCATTCTCTAAGTTTATCTCTTCCCCTACTCTCCCCAAGTCCCTGCAATCAGCTTGCCTCAAGGGGCCCTTACAGAAGCAGAGGGCCCAACCTCCCATGGTTAGGAATGAAAGATGTTTAACATCTTCATAACTACTTGAGAGGAAATGCAACGAAGAGAAAAATAAACAACTTGAAACTTTCACATGCTTGAATTGTTGAGTACTTGAAGCACTTTGGTATGATTCACATATATTTGCTTTCACTTCCCCATTTACATATGGTTACTCTTTTAAGGGCTGAAATGTTGGCTCTAATTCAAGGATTAAAATTGATGGTTACTCTGTTATATCTTCCTTTGGATCATGACAAAACTGTGCTCTTTCTTCCTAAGAAAATGACACTTCCTACATTTTCTAGATAGAATGATAAGTAGGGATGGCGATGGGACAGATTCTGGGAGGGATTGTAAATTCTAGACCCTCACCACCTCCCCAAAACTCCCAAATCGTAACCCCCAAGCCACAGTGGATTGGTTTTTCAAAATTCAAACCCCCCTTGGACATGAAAATGCAAAACCTTCCCCAATGCTATCCCCTCACATTTAATGGTGGGGTGAGTCGAGTCCAGAACACACATCTTTTTTTTATCAATAACAGAAATAATTCATTGGTACGGAAGCAAATCAACCTGCATCTAATTTCTTGCTATGTATAAGCAATAAACAAACAAAATAACAAGAACAAACATCAAAATGTCCAATTATTTGACTGAAACATGTAGAAAAAACACATAAACTATCAATTATCAAAACATTATTCCTGGCCCAAAATTCATTTCTTCAAATGAGAAAAAAAAAACTGTCAAGGTGGGTACCCACTAGGTAAGATGGAAATTGCCATCCCTAATGATAAGAAGATTGTCCATAAAACCAAAATAGAGCTTCATAAATATGCTCCCTCAATGACATTAAATCCCACAAGAAACATTTGGCTCTTTCTAAAGCTTGTAGAACATACAATAACTGTAGAGAACACTGATGTGGGCCCCACGGCTGTGGTCCCCACTGTGTTCGTATGACAGCATGTGTAACCTTTGTTAGTCATGTCAGTGTTAGTTGGTAGTTATCTTAGACAGCTTGTTATTTCAGTTTGTTATTTATTTCAGTCTTTTATTTGTTTTATTTGCCATGTAAGTATCAAGGGCAGTTCTGTCCTTTCCT